GTTTGCGCTATCATTAACATCTACCATAGTTTATTCTGGATTTTTACTAAACGTTTAAATGTAGTAAAACAATTTAAATTTGGAAATTAACGGTGAATACGGCAGAAGTACATACTAAACAGTCCAAAAGTAAAGAAACAACGGATTTCCCGAGATGGGATACGAACGAGAATCAATGGTTTAGGAGTCCGATGCTTTATGCATTCGGCTACTGGTCCGTTACGGTTATACACCATGGATTTTTGTTATACACCAAAATGTTTTTTTGTTTCTGTTTTCGTTTCAGTTGCATGAAATATTTAACTTCAACTGTGTCACTTACATGAAGTTTATATTTGAAGGCACGATTTGGTCGTTGTACGGGTATTAGACTGCTAGTTGCTAATAATTGATACTGCAGTAGAAGCAGGTTGACACATATCCGTTGTCAATTCGTGTCAGCGGTACGATAATTATTGTCACGGGTAAATAATGACAAATATTTAGACAATGTTTGACAAATATTTGTCATTATTCACCCACAGATATTGTCAAATGTGCGACTAACCATGTATACTTTATTTACTGAAGCGTAAAACCAGAAAGCGGGACACATGCGGTCGGTATTAAAGACGGAGAGGAATGCGTCGGTTGTCACGTTATTGCACGGACTGCGGCAGCGTGCAAGAAGATCGTAACTGACTGTCGGTGCGAGTGAGAATATTCGCGGAAAGAAAACACATTGCGATGCTGGTTTGCAGATGTTCGTATAGTAATGTTTGTTTATTTTTCATCTATTACGCCAGGCCATTATAAAGGTATTTGCTTTGGCTACGATTTTATTATATTATGCATGCACGCACATACATTATGTAAAAACACTACGTATACACACGTATACGTAGCGCGCACGCACGCGCGCACGCACGCACGCACGCACGCACGCACACACACACACACACACACACACACACACACACACTCACGCACACTCACGCATGCACGCACCCACACGTACTGAATAATTCCCTTGTATTCTCGCGGCTTCTACTAACACAATATTTATGATTAACCGTCATGTTTTTCCCATCGCCATCCTCTTGGCGCCACCATCGCTGCCAAATCCCGGGCTAGCGACGCAAGTTTACTCCAAGCTCTCTTCCTTCCTACACACGCGTTCCTCACGACGGAACAGCAACAACAGATGCACGACGACCGCAGGAGGGCGCCACCGTTCCACCACTCCCACGAGGTGGCGCTGCAGCAGCAGGTCACGTGTCGTGCAGACGCGGCGCCTCCCAGTGTCTCCAATATACATCCCCGTCCTGCCACCGGGTGGCGCTGTGCACCGCCTCGAGCATGCGGCCATCTTTGGTCACGTAGGGTACGTACTTCCGGCTGTCCAATATGGCGCTCAGGCGCCGGATGTCGCTCGTGAGGCACGGCGAATCGGCGAAGTGCTGGTGTCGGAACATCACCCGCCACTCGATGAAGATGTAGGGCACGAAGACGCGATCCAGGAATCGCTGCGCAGACAGCAATGCCCTGCATTCGTATCCCTCTGTGGCGCGCATGCGTACATGTAACGAAACAAATGAACGTTAATGTCGGAGATTAAACATGGCGGATTAGTACGATGTTAGACTGACGCGCATGCGCACATGTAACGAAACAAAGGAACGTTAATGTCGGAGATTAAACATGGCGGATTAGTACGATGTTAGACTGACGCGCATGCGCACATGTAACGAAACAAAGGAACGTTAATGTCGGAGATAAAACATGCATGGCGGATTAGTACGATGTTAGACTGACGCGCATGCGCACATGTAACGAAACAAATGAACGTTAATGTCGGAGATTAAACATGGCGGATTAGTACGATGTTAGACTGACGCGCATGCGCACATGTAACGAAACAAATGAACGTTAATGTCGGAGATTAAACATGGCGGATTAGTACGATGTTAGACTGACGCGCATGCGCACATGTAACGAAACAAATGAACGTTAATGTCGGAGATTAAACATGGCGGATTAGTACGATGTTAGACTGACGCGCATGCGCACATGTA